TAGAGCGTCGTTTATCCGAAGGTCGGTTATCCGAAACGTCGGTTATCCGAAGGAATTCCAGTCGACAAATTTAAATTTTCGCCAGTGCTGTGGCGCTGTAATCTTTGGCTATGTCTTCGGCTACTCAAATATTTTACGTTTTTGATACTAAATTAACTTCTGAAGTATAATTTTTTATTGTTTTTATATTTTTCAATATATTTATTTTGTTTGTACAAAATAAAAAAATAATTTTTAACGATACAATAGTATTTGTTAGGCTTAACATCAACGAAAATTCAACGCGAAGTGACACGCAACGAAGAAAAATTTCAACACGGGATAAATTAATATATTTTTTCGTACATAATTGGTTATCCAAAACATCGATCTTCCGAACAACCCAAGTCCCCAATCGATTTGGATAATCGACACTCTACTGTATTGTCCTTTTATTACATTCATTAAATAATGGGAATAACTGTATAACTCAGTGGTTCTTAATTAACTAGTGTTCCTCAAAACTACCTTGAGTGTTCCACGAAAGAAAAGATTTTAAAAGTTTTTATTCAGATTTATTTCAATTGCTATATTCGTGGACAATTCCATATTTTTATTTTATTCAATATATTAAAGTTTATTAGTTTATTGCTTAAAGCAAATCCATGTTTACTATTCTCAGGAAACAATAATTTCCTGAAAATAGTAAACATGAAATTGCTTATCAATTTTTGAGTATATTGATGCTAATGCTCCATGTAATAAAAAGTATATGAATGGTGTTCCATTGATATGATGTATCATTTATTATCATTTGGGACAATTACATCTCTAAATGAGAAGGTTGGGACTTTATCACACTACAGACCATACCAATAGAAGCAAAAAAGTCAGAATAGCTATAACTCTACATATGAACCTTCATGAGATACAGCTCTCCGAAATCAGCCTACTTCCAGGTAACATATGATCGGGAGTTGTGTTGCTCCATTAGGAGTATCGCATTTAACTAATTTAGCCCAGACAACTATGCCAATTTAGAGTAGCCCACTTGACTGTTCATAAAGTAGTTGATGTTATATAGTTTTAGGGAGTGTGGGGCTCACCTCAACACAGGCAGAGAGGTGCAAGCAACAGTGAGCACAAAAACAGGTGTATTCAGTCAAGGCAAGCAATAGTGAGTCTTGACTAACGTAAAGCTAGAAGAATAGTCAGTAGCATCGGTTATGATAAAAATTGACCTTTGGAAGCGAATATCTCAGAGAGTCACATGTACAGGTATAGTTCCATTGACTTTTTTGAGCATACAGGGAGGGTTGCAAATCCCTCATTCAGAGTTCACATCTTATCATTATTTTTGTAACTTTTATGTACTAAATTCAAATAAAAAATTTATAATTTTCTCTCATGATATACAGTTTATTGTACTATGATATTTTGCTTGATAATCTTTGAGAACACACTTCTTAATGGTTTCTTATAATACGTATGTTTTCAAACTAATAATTTATATTAGACTAATTGTGTAATGTTCATATATTACAATAAATATTATTTATAAATATATAAATAAATTTATATTAACCTGAAGTAAAGAAACTACTTGAATAATTCCTCTTTGCAACATTAACAGGTATTTGCGGCAAATCTGTATTTAAAAAAAATATATATTAAGTTTTTAATTTAATAAAAATGAATTAAAAAAAGAAAAAACAGAAATATAAATATTACATCTTAATGTATTTTTTATGGAGAATTGAAACATGTTTACAAGCGCAGTAGCCGCCATCTTTACACTATGAACAACAGCGCCATACGTATTTTTCATTTTGTCTTTTATTTTCTTAAAAATTTCATCTATAATTAAAAATTTAGATTTATTATTAATCTAAGTTAAAATTAATTAAATAGTATAATAATTACATAATTAATTATCGTCCTAATACGTAATTTAAAAGTTTATTGCTCGGAAATATGGAAAAACATTATGGCTTCTTGATACGTTGATTTTAATGATGCTTAACATTATAATTAACAAAATACATATCAAGAAAGGATAGTTTGATTAATTTTCATTGAGTTTATGAATTTTTATATGATTATTCTTAAATATTCCGAACGTTCGCATTTGTAACAAGAATATTTGGTTAGATTTACCTTAGGTAGCCAACATGGCCGCGCACCGACTGTTCGTGGTCCACACGGACTCCTTCCGGAGGAGAGCCGCCGGCAGGCCGCCGAGTGGCAAACGTCACTAGTTATTGATTCACGGTGGTTCTTGAACAAAATAAATATATAAAAAAAGGAAACGTCTACTAAAGATGTAGCTAATCTAACGGAAATGAAACGAACCTAACCGAAGCGCCACCATTTTGTCTACCTAAGGTAAATTTGACCGAATATTTTTCAAAAATTAATGGATATTTTCGGATTGATTTATTCTCAAGATACTAAAATGAGTTATGTGCTTGGTGTAAATTATGTTTCCACTGTAAACAAGTTTGGTTTCAAATTTTGAAATTATAATTTGTGTATTTTTTGTTGTGATTTTGTAAATTATATTTTGAGTCTCTGTAACTATTACTACATTAGTTGTGAAATACTGACTTGAATTTAGAATACCTAAATTTGAATTACAGTGTATTTGAAGTTTACAATACATAAAATACTAATTTACACGTGTTTGTATATTTGAAAATTCGAACAAATTGAAAATCCAGATAGAGTCCGACTTAATTAGTCCGAATTCTCGACGCTTCACTACTTTAAAAACATAAGAAACATTAGTATTTTTGTGAAATGGTTAGTCTTGAAATTAAACTTTGAGATGGTAATCAACAGAGATTTATTTTACACAGACAAAAAGATAGAGAATGATGAAAACAAAATAAGCAAATACTAATGTTTGTTTTTATGGGATATGACAACATAACACATGGACGTTCTGCCAAGGTAAGATGCCTCCCGAGAGGACTTTCATTGAAAACTGGCTTCTATTTAGATGTTAGATATTTGAAGAAAACTCGGATGGTAAACTTTACTGTCTAATCCATGGTGAGACACGAACCCACGACCAATAATCAATATTTAGTGGTTTTATTCATTCGGTTACNCGAGTGGCAAACGTCACTAGTTATTGATTCACGGTGGTTCTTGAACAAAATAAATATATAAAAAAAGGAAACGTCTACTAAAGATGTAGCTAATCTAACGGAAATGAAACGAACCTAACCGAAGCGCCACCATTTTGTCTACCTAAGGTAAATTTGACCGAATATTTTTCAAAAATTAATGGATATTTTCGGATTGATTTATTCTCAAGATACTAAAATGAGTTATGTGCTTGGTGTAAATTATGTTTCCACTGTAAACAAGTTTGGTTTCAAATTTTGAAATTATAATTTGTGTATTTTTTGTTGTGATTCTGTAAATTATATTTTGAGTCACTGTAACTATTACTACATTAGTTGTGAAATACTGACTTGAATTTAGAATACCTAAATTTGAATTACAGTGTATTTGAAGTTTACAATACATAAAATACTAATTTACACGTGTTTGTATATTTGAAAATTCGAACAAATTGAAAATCCAGATAGAGTCCGACTTAATTAGTCCGAATTCTCGACGCTTCACTACTTTAAAAACATAAGAAACATTAGTATTTTTGTGAAATGGTTAGTCTTGAAATTAAACTTTGAGATGGTAATCAACAGAGATTTATTTTACACAGACAAAAAGATAGAGAATGATGAAAACAAAATAAGCAAATACTAATGTTTGTTTTTATGGGATATGACAACATAACACATGGACGTTCTGCCAAGGTAAGATGCCTCCCGAGAGGACTTTCATTGAAAACTGGCTTCTATTTAGATGTTAGATATTTGAAGAAAACTCGGATGGTAAACTTTACTGTCTAATCCATGGTGAGACACGAACCCACGACCAATAATCAATGTTTAGTGGTTTTATTCATTCGGTTACTGGGGAAATAAATACTGATATTATGGTAAATTTTTAAGTGTTTTATATTTCATTTAAATTAAAAATACTGATTAGCGTTCTTTGATTAAAGAAAATAATGATTTTCTCAAGGGACACTTATTAATCATTAAAGAAACATCAATCTATCACAGAGAATAGTTTGTGAAACGATACTCCAGAATTTTATTAAATGAAAATTAGAATAAAAATAGCAATTAATGTAAAATAAAAATGTTTTCCTTTTCTTAAAAAAATTCAAATTTAAATATTATTTTAAATTTATTTAAATTACTCTTTTGTTTTTTATAACAGAGTTTTTATCTGAGTATACTGCAGGATTAATTTGTGTATAAAAATGTTCCACGCTAACTTACAACAAGAAACGCTGATACACTGCTTAGATAACACGCAATATTCATGAAATGAATAAGATGCCATAGTTTGATATATGAGGACTATTAAGTAATCCATTAAACACGAAAAAAACTGAATAAAAAATATATAAAGTTTTAAAATTTTCAAGTTAATAAACAAAGTTCAGTTACTAAGCACGAATAAGCTTACTTATAACTTAATAAAATATGAAATTTATGTTCTTGGACATTATTAATAAATCATTAATTCTCATATTTTCTAAGAGAAGTACAAAATATTTCTCATTTTGATAGAGGAGAGTTTAAGAATCCAAAAATAACGTGACATCATTTTTGTAAGATGTTATCTAAAAGGTATTTAAAGGTGTTTTCGTCGAATTGAGATGTACCTGGCTTCTCTCAATATTTAATGTATTGCGAGAAGCCAAATACATCTTATTTGATGTATTTTCTTCTTTACTAACTAACGAAACTCTAAGTTTATAAAAATAAAGCAATGAACTGTGAGAACAATACACTGTAAAGGCCAAAATATATATTGGGTGAATGTCCTTAGAAACAGTACTTTGATATGGAGCAATATTGTTTGAGAGTAATAAATTCCTTCATAAAATATTACTGTAAAGACAGATAATAATCACATGACTCTGTACTACACGTTTCAGAATTTAACCTTACATTCAAGAAGAATTTTTATAGATTTTATCAAGTATTTTCACAACAAATTCTTATTTATGTTGTGCAATTCTTTCATTAACAGTTAAGTATAGTACCGGTATACGTATAACAAAAAACAGGACAAACAAAGTCATTTAAAAAAACTTCATAATTATTAAGAAATTATTAATAATTCTTAGTAACTTTATGATTTATTCAGTGGTTTAGCCTACTTTTTGAAATGGATAACCTTCTAAGATAGATTTACAAGTAAAATAAATAGTTATTTATTGATTTTTTTTAAATTTTATTTTATATAATATTTTTAGAAACTGTAATTGAATTTATGTTGTATTTACAACTTATATACAATTTTCTTTTTATATTAAAGAATGATTGGGGAATAATTTATGGTTCAGTTTTCTGTAAAACGTATAATTTTATAACAACTTCTTTATATAATATATATAAAATACTTACAAGAAAACTTTCCTATTATTGTTAAAGTTGCTTTGTGTCGTTGAACACTGTTACATAGAAAAGTGTCGATCAATTTATATTTATGGATCTCTTTATAAAGGTAAAAAGATCGTATAAATATGAGGAAAGTAATGATAGGTTTTCTATATAGAAGTTTATTAATATAAAACACGTAACCAAACAGTATGCTATTGTTGAGATTTTCTGAGAGATCAATTAGCTTTCATTGAAAAAATATACATGAATTGTTGTTTGATTTTCAAATTAAAGAAATAAAAAAGAAAAAAGACAAATATTTTTGTTATTGCACTTCTACGAGTTCTAAGGCCGATCACAGTTTATTTATTATGAGAAGGTTGATTGGTAGTGGGAGAGTCTACATGGGTAAGGAATGGAGAATTACTCAACTGGAAGTATCACGTGATAAAGTATCGGAGTAACAGTCCGAATCGAACTCTAATCTAGATCTCCCGTATGTTAATGTCTTATCTCACCAGACGGCCCTTTATATATATAGGCGAAAAAGCAATATTTAGGGCCTCGCGAATTGTAGTACATTTTAGCATTTAAATTATCAAATTGACAATTATGGGAAACGTAATAGTACCGGTATCTGTTGCAAATCTACAGAACGAACATTTTCAAAGTAAGTTTATTCCGATCAACAATATATTAAGAGAGACTTTCTTCACTTTCATCTTGTCCATTGAAAGCGATATTACTGCATAACTAGTCTTATTTTCCGTAATTGATGAATTCAACGCTGTTAAAAGAGGAGAACAGTTCCTCAGGCAAATTTCTGTACACTTATTGAATTTTCCAATCCATTGTAAAACTCCTGTACACGTTTACTGTTTACTCGAAATCTATAAATGTTACTGTAAATCATATTACTTTATCATGTGATTTACAGTCTGTTTCTATATTTAAAATATTCATATTACTGTAGATCTAATATATCTACCCTCTACCTCCATCGCTCTTTTAATGGGTCTCAAAACAAATTTTGCCTAGGAACTCGCAAATCCTAGGAGCTCCTAAGTTAATCCTACAATCATCTTAATGACAATATAAATGCTAAGAGACCTAAATGAACTATATGCACAGGTTTATATTTATGTGATCTGTATATTACAAATTATATCAACAACGTATGTTATACTTTTTAATAATAAAAGCACAGTACAGTCGTCCCTCTGTATCCGTAAGCGTGGTTTTAGGAACCGCTACTGATACCAAAATCTGCGGATGTTCAAGTGTCTTATAAAAAATGGCGTAGTATTTGCGTATAAAACTTATGCACATCCTCCCATATTCTTTTATC